GTATTTTATGTCTAGGAGTGTATTTTGCTGGGATGATCATAAATTATAGCTGAACTGATAAACTACACAAGGGATACTTTGCTCAGAAGGCAGGAAGACGTTTCCTTATTTAGTCTGTACCGGTTTGAACTGGGAAAGCTGACACACGAACCTTTTTTCCTCTATATAAACTGCTGTGTATCAAATAAACCTTTGAGTCGATTTGGGAAGACAACCTGAAGCAGTCTGTGTTTCCTTGTTCTCCCAAGCTGCTCCCGACGTCGTAACTAACCCAGCTGAATGGCATACCTGAGTGTTACTTTAAATAATTAGGAATCTTAGAAGGAAAGGACAGAACTCTGCTTATCGCTCACGCCACGGAGGAAACCCGGGACGGCAATTTCCTTCAACTTGCTTAGTGGTCGCCCCATGATCGGAAGGTCGGCGGTTCGAATCCACTTAACGGCTACCCTGAGGTACCCCTGAGCAAGGTACCGTCCCTACACACTGCTCCCCGGGCGCCTGCTTAGTGGGCTGCCCACTGCTTCACTGAGTGAATGGGTCAAATGCAGAGAAAAACAAGTAATTTCCCCATGGGGATCAATAAAGTATCCATTATTATTATTATTATTATTATTATAACATATTACAAGGTAAAGTAATACTGCACTGCACGTATAGTAAGTAACACCTACTGTGTATGGGAGCCTAAAGCAAAGTTAACTGCACCAGTACCAGCTTCAGAACATATTGTATATTATATGTTTCTACCTTTTTGTAATATGTCATGTTTAGATGCAGTGACAATTGCACATTTGGAGTTGTGGTCATATGTGGTCTTTATATACAGGGTATTAAAAAAAAATTGACATTTTTTGCTATTTTTCTTGTTTGTTTGCACAATATTATTGTGTACATATTACATATGTAACATTATTGTTAATATTATTATTAGATATCAAAGATACAATTTGATTGAGGGTTTTCCTGTCATAATTTCAATAAAAATGCAATTACACACGTAAACAATAGGATCAAAATAAACTTTTAAAAAGTCTGTTGATCAAATGCTGATTTTCAAAACATTCTAGAGGAAAACAGAGATAAAATAATCTGAACAGTAACAGTGATTGTGGATGATGATGATGGAGGCTTCAATGGATTATTCTGTTTCAATCAATAGGTTCGTATCTATGACAATAATTTGATAAGTTTAACAGGTTGGTTTAGGCCTGGCAATACAGCAAATATTCACAAACTTTTGTTTTTGAAGAATGTTTATCTTTTTTGGGATGAAGCTATCTGGCAAAATGAGACAACCCTTTTAACCTCATCTTTATGTCTTTTTTGTGGCTATGATACTGGATTTTGGTTTGATGCATATGCAGGTTACAGCTGGGGAATGGCAGTATGTTGTGGATTGATTTGGCATGTTCAACCACTGTTACACCAAACTCTCTCACTTATAACATGATAAAGGCCTCTTACTCAGTGTCATGGATTTTCTATACTTTTGGGGACACAGGGCCAAAGTCTGAGGCAATAAGTCAGATGAAAGAAGGCAATGATTCTAAAATGGGAGTTTACTTATGTCATTATATATATCCAGGAATATGTGCCAGAGGATAGTTGTCATGAAATCAATATTAAATCAAAGTATTCCTTAATTACCACAGCTGACACGAGTTCTCCATAGCTGCCTGCTGTCTCAGGATCTGTCTCCAAAAAGGACCAGGGAGCACTAACATGTTATGTTCTAAAATGATGAAGAAAATGTACATTAAACATAATATAAACTTACTGAGTGAAGTAATGTCAAGAGGATTCCTTTAGCTCCTATTGGGTTGGTTCCTTGATCAATGCAATACAGAATCATTAATCTGGTTTTATGTAATGTCCTCAAAACATGTCAAAATGAGGCTCACTAGTCTGTGTGGCCTCCACATGCCTGTATGACCTCCCTACAACACCTGGGCATGCTCCTGATGAAGTGGCAGATGCTCTCCTGATGGATCTCCTCCCAGACTCCAGGACTAAAGCATCTGCCCACTCATGGACATTTTGTGGTGCAGTTGGTGGATGGAGCGAGACATAATGTCCCAGTTGTCCTCAATTGGATTCAGTTCTGGGGAATGGGCGGGCCAGTCCACCGCATCAATGCCTTCATCTTGCAGGAACTGCTGACACACTCCAGCCACATGAGGTCTAGGATTGTCTTGCATTAGGAGGAACCCGGGGCCAACCGCACCAGCATATGGTCTCACAAGGGGTCTGAGGATCTCATCTCAGTACCTAATGGCAGTCAGGCTACCTCTGCCGAACACATGGAGGGCTGTGCAGCTCCCCAAAGAAATGCCACCCCACACCAAAACTGACCCACTGCCAAACTCATGCTGGAGGATGTTGGAGGAAGCAGAAGGTTCTCCACGGCGTCTCCAGACTGTCACAAGTGCTCAGTGTGAACCTGCTTTCATCTGTGAGGAGCACAGGGCGCCAGTGGCAAAGTCGCCAATCTTTGTGTTGTCTGGCAAATGCCAAACATCCGGCACTGTGTTGGGCTGTAAGCACAACCCCACCTGTGGACGTCGGGCCCTCATACCACCCTCATGGAGTCCATTTCTGACCGTTTGAGCAGACGTGCACATTTGTGGCCTGCTGGAGGTCATTTTGCACAGCTCTGGCCTTTCTTTCCTACCCCACAGTACCTTCCCTTACCATTTGTTTCATACTCTTTTACTTCTTCTTTGATGACGGTTGTCTTTCTAGATAAGCAATTTCATTTGCTCTGGGGCGAGTCACTGGCTCGGGTGCATTCTGGGACTGTCAGTTCACCAGTGTGCTGGCATGCTTCTTAACAAACACACCACTACAGCAAACATCTCAATTGTACTTGTTGATTTCTTTGACAAAACACTGAACAAAAAATTTACTTGTGAGTGTGCTGCATGGTGCTTTTAAATTTTGTGATAATTTGAGCAGCCCAGAAAGCATCCCATAAATTAAATTATGTTATCGTATCTGAACATGTACACTAGTCATTAAATTAGATGGGAAATAATGATTCAGGGTAAACAACTGCACCAAGGAAATTCCATTTTTCTTATCAAAATGTAAAATGTCTGTTGAAAAATCACATTGAACAGAGATGTGATTAACTTTTTATTTTACCAAACATAACATCAATGATGACACAATCAGTCTTCATCAGAAGTGCTCAAATCACTCTCAGTGGCATCGTCTGGAATGTCCTCCTCTCCTCCGAGTCCATTTCCAGGAGTGGTTGGTGGCTGAGGATTCTCTTGTACACGTCCTTTACTTTGAGCATTTCAGCTTTCAGTTCACTTTGTTTTTTTAAAACCAGGCTACAGAGTCCCTTCTGTGCATCCTCCGACATGCCAACAAAGGAGGCTGTAAAAAGAACAAAACAAATAAATATGAGAAAAGTAAAAAAAACAAACAAAAAAAAACCTCACCTCATAAACACAAGGAATTAGGATCATGTAATTAAACATTTCTTTAAAAGGGAGAAGGCAGTGTTAGCTAGCAATCTAGATATAGGTAAAAGATCCAGTAAGACTTTAGCATCTGCTCTTATTTTCAATCGATTCATCAAAAAATTAATTAATAAATAAAGTGCTTACAGTCTGAGGAGATTGTCCCCAACACCACAGAACGCATTCGCAACACTGTCCAGTGATGCCGCATCTCCCTGCAAAGGATCATCTCCTCCTCTCTCAGGCGCCTCACAGCCATCACCTTCTCAAAGACCTTTCTCTTTGTCCGGAGGTCAGCAGCAGCTACAGTTTAACAACATCAGATGGGAAAACATAGTAGCATATTATGATTCAAGAACAAAACATTCAACTACTGCTCAGATACTGGGAGTTTGTTTAAAAAGGATATTTATAAATCAAGAGCTTACGTTCACTTGTGCTCTGCCAGGGCCAAATATCGGTCTGCATGAGGGCATCACTGGATACGATTTGCTTTGTTGGTTCAGCGAGCTTGTTGTAGTCGTCAACAGCAGCGCCAAGCGTTTCTTCTCAACTAAGATGACCTTGCGAATTCTGTGTCGCCTCTTGTTGCTATCTGTAAATAATCATAAAAAATTCACACCTTCACATAATGTATATAGTTTCATTTTAATCTACACTCATCAATTTGTTTGCTAGAACAAATCACATCCAGCTCAAACAAACCTGGATCTGATTTGATTCTGTTTACAAAGTAGCTGCACAAGCTGTACAAACTGAGCATCAAACGGTCCGTTTCAAAGAAACTGGGACGTACCATTTTGTCTGTAAAGACTTTGTGTTCGCACTCTGATGATGACGACAAGCTCCTCTATTCGTGCCTGCAACGCTCCAAGGCTGCCATCAGTTTGATCACTTTCTAAGTGAGAGGAATATTAATCAGAGCACAGGATGAGTAACAGTCACCAAACTACAGTGGACTCTGTAATCACTGACTTGATGACATTCATTATAAGACATCTGGAGCCTTCATGTGCTGCTATCTCATGATAATCATGAGATAACAAGTATGTTGGTGTTCAGGTTTATAAAACCAACTAGTACGGCATCATTTCAACCCAGGTTCTATCCAATTTGATGAAACGCAACAACTCTGCCATAAATTTGCTTTTACAAGGCTTATTTTTCATTGTTTGTTGACACTGTCAGAAAGATCTTAACTCTAAGTTCTTTAATGAGGCCATGGTGGGTCCTATTGTTATACATGAGTGCATTATATTGAGACTCACCTTCAGCCCATTTCTGCACATCGGCCACCCATTGCTGCAGTGTGTCGTCATCCACACCCAGCTCATTTCTGGTCGCATTCAGGCTCTCCACTTGTTCTCTAAGGATCCTTATGATCTAAGAATGCATTCATAAATGTCATTCATATTGACATTAAAAGAGTACTGGTGTTTTCCCCCATTACCACGCACATTAAAATGGGTGTTGAAAAAATGACCTTTAGATATCGCTGGCTCAAAGTGCGGCCCAGTTGTTCCATTTTCCTTTTGTTCCACCCCAAAGCCAGGAGGGTCAGCATGTCTGTTCGCCCTGCATTTCAGTTAGTATACAAATTAGAATTAATGAGCAGGAGACTGAGTGGAATCTCAGACACGGACACACACCTGCTTTAGACATGTACTTCGTTGTGATGGCCGCCCTAGACAGGAAACTGTTTACTTGTTCCACCTCTTCTCCAACTGTTGAACCGGCCCCATCCTGAAACGCACCTCCCCATTTGATCTATAGAAAGGAGGTCACAATACATGACTGCTGAATTCATTCAACCTTATAACAAAATGTCTCAAACTAATCCAAAACTACAAGCTGCAGTATACCTCGCATTTCCAAGTGTGAGCCTTTGCATGCATGACGGAGAGAAAAGGACGCATTGACAAGAGGTTCCTCAGCTCAGGGCACTGCTGAGCCACCTTGGTTAAATAGGGGAAATATTTACAGGCCACATCAGAGCAAAGGAACGTAATACAGTGGGGCAAAAAAGTATTTAGTCAGCCACCGATTGTGCAAGTTCCCCCACCTAAAATGATGACAGCGGTCAGTAATTTGCACCAGAGGTACACTTCAACTGTGAGAGACAGAATGTGAAAAAAAAATCCATGAATCCACATGGTAGGATTTGTAAAGAATTTATTGGTAAATCAGGGTGGAAAATAAGTATTTGGTCAATAACAAAAATACAACTCAATACTTTGTAACATAACCTTTGTTGGCAATAACAGAGGTCAAACGTTTACTATAGGTCTTTACCAGGTTTGCACACACAGTAGCTGGTATTTTGGCCCATTCCTCCATGCAGATCTTCTCGAGAGCAGTGATGTTTTGGGGCTGTCGCCGAGCAACACGGACTTTCAACTCCCGCCACAGATTTCCTATGGGGTTGAGGTCTGGAGACTGGCTAGGCCACTCCAGGACTTTCAAATGCTTCTTACGGAGCCACTCCTTTGTTGCCCGGGCGGTGTGTTTTGGATCATTGTCATGTTGGAAGACCCAGCCTCGTTTCATCTTCAAAGTTCTCACTGATGGAAGGAGGTTTTGGCTCAAAATCTCACGATACATGGCCCCATTCATTCTGTCCTTAACACGGATCAGTCGTCCTGTCCCCTTGGCAGAAAAACAGCCCCATAGCATGATGTTTCCACCCCCATGCTTCACAGTAGGTATGGTGTTCTTGGGATGCAACTCAGTATTCTTCTTCCTCCGAGTTGAGTTTATACCAAAAAGTTCTACTTTGGTTTCATCTGACCACATGACATTCTCCCAATCCTCTGCTGTATCATCCATGTGCTCTCTGGCAAACTTCAGACGGGCCTGGACATGCACTGGCTTCAGCAGCGGAACACGTCTGGCACTGCGGGATTTGATTCCCTGCCGTTGTAGTGTGTTACTGATGGTGACCTTTGTTACTTTGGTCCCAGCTCTCTGCAGGTCATTCACCAGGTCCCCCCGTGTGGTTCTGGGATCTTTGCTCACCGTTCTCATGATCATTTTGACCCCACGGGATGAGATCTTGCGTGGAGCTCCAGATCGAGGGAGATTATCAGTGGTCTTGTATGTCTTCCATTTTCTGATGATTGCTCCCACAGTTGATTTTTTCACACCAAGCTGCTTGCCTATTGTAGATTCACTCTTCCCAGTCTGGTGCAGGTCTACAATACTTTTCCTGGTGTCCTTCGAAAGCTCTTTGGTCTTGGCCATGGCGGAGTTTGGAGTCTGACTGTTTGAGGCTGTGGACAGGTGTCTTTTATACAGATGATGAGTTCAAACAGGTGCCATTCATACAGGTAACGAGTGGGGGACAGAAAAGCTTCTTACAGAAGACGTTACAGGTCTGTGAGAGCTAGAGATTTTCCTTGTTTGAGGTGACCAAATACTTATTTTCCACCCTAATTTACGTATAAATTCTTTACAAATCCTACCATGTGAATTCATGGATTTTTTTTTCACATTCTGTCTCTCACAGTTGAAGTGTACCTCTGGTGCAAATTACTGACCTCTGTCATCATTTTAGGTGAGGAAACTTGCACAATCGGTGGCTGACTAAATACTTTTTTGCCCCACTGTATGTCCTGGGACGTTAGCTGCCAACTTCCTCTGGAGAAAAAGGGGGTAAGCAAAGATCTCCCCTCGAAACATGTTCAATGCAGCTAAGAGGACTCCGTGGCGACAAACAGCTATTTCCATGCCCTCCTCATCCAACTTCCCAGTGGACTTTTTGGACGACTCCTTTGCTGCAGTCCAAGATGAAGATCCGCACAACCCTTTCCCCGGGACCTATACACTCAAAGATTTTAACATAAAAGATATGACATGATTAAGGCCCTATCAGGGACAAACTTTTTAAAACAAATGCATAACAATTAGCTGAATTAGCCTCGAGTCACACAAGACCTCAGATCTCCCCAGGACAGCACTGATAACACAAAATAAAAATCATGTTGTTTTTTTTAAATACACATGGTGACAAAAGTAAGTACACATTAAGATAAAGTAAAGTAAATAGTATTACGACAACACCAAGAGAAAAATAAAAAAAAATATCGACCCATCCATATATGTCTACACACACAAACACACACACACACACACACACACAAACACACACACACACACACACACACACGTATGTGTATATGGTTACGGCATTAACGTCATTTTAACACGATTAACGCTAACAGCACTAATATATATATGTGTATCTTACATGATTTGTGTGTCTCTGGATGTATTTCACAAACTCAGCAACTTCCTCATCTTTTTCAATGACGACACCTTCAAAATTCCCCTGCTCTGAAGTGCTGAACGAACACAGTGACAGTTGTTTGAAAAGAAACATTAAAATACATTTTTCTACAAATCCATATTTGACTTATGTACACAATGCATAACGTACCTTGCATTAGACTGAAAGCGATAAAGCTTGCGGTTTCCATCAACTGAGACGGCAAGCATGTCTGGAGTGCAGGCAGGGCAGCTAAAGCATGGCTCCTTGCACATCCTGTCCACCTCAAACTTTACAGCACTCCACTCCAAGAAACTTTTACTGAAGGCATCAGCTGATATTCGGCCATTCTTTTACATAGAGGACATACAACAGAATATTCAAGGACAGTCATCATAAACATTGATTTGCACAATTTCCTTAAACTTAGCAAATTTAGAAACTCACCCTTCCAAAATGGGCTGTTCGTTCATCCAGCATTTTGACAAATGCCTTAAGTGACATCCCTGGTGCAGCCTTCTTAATGTCATAGAAAGACTGAAAGACATCCATTGAAAACAGGGTGCAGAAATTTAAGGTGCCAGGCCAATATCCACTACCCAGGATGTCCTTAACTGAGGGGGACCACATTAGGCCACAGCTGGTGCAGCTCACCACTGGCAGTGCAAGGTTATAACGGCCTTTAGAAAGGATAAGGATAAATTCAGTCATGGCTCAAAGCATTCATTTTTTTCATGTTGTTTTCAAATCGGTCTGGTAAATCCAAATGACCTTTGACAGGTTCCCACATATACTGCGGGCCGAGAGTAATTAAAACCAAGATAGCAATGCACAATTTGCAATAAAACCTCCAAACACATCTATTGTGTATGTAGTGTGTGACAAAAGGGCAACTTACCATTTATGGTTAGAGCCACAATTGCGCCGGGTGAAACCTCAACGTTACCTGCTGGGCAGTCACACACATGGTCTGGCCTTTGCACAGGCAACAGCCGAACTAACATTAAAACACACAATATATATAAAAAGAATTAGAAATTAACTGATACACAATAAATATACAATAACAGCACCCACTCATACTCATACATAGCAAGAAATGCATAAGACTTAAAAACTGTACCTATTGGCTTGTGAAACTCTGATGAAGGCTGCAAAAACTCTCCTGTTACTGCCTCTCTGTTGTGCAGGACAAAGCGTGTGTGAACTGCAATATCACAGTCAGCACAAAGGAATGGAAGAGGCAGGCAGTCCAGACACCTCACAACTACTTGTTTGCCACACTGACACACACGGTGTGACTGTGGATCCAGAGTAGCTAACATATTGTCTATAAGACAAGGCCTGGCCTCTTTCCACTTTTGCGAGGACACCATATTTCTGATCGCCCAGTGAGTAGCAGCTGACTCAGACGACATCTCACAAGTCATGGCTGTGTCCTCTTCTCCATCCTCCAACAACTGAAGGAGCTCCTGACGAAGCACCTCAGTTCCATACACTAACAGAAAAAAAATAAAGAAAGGAAGAAACTCTTCCACAAAGTGAAAAACACTCTAGGCAGTATGTTTCTTAGGACTCCACAAAAGCCCTGCATAACTCAACTATAACAACAAATATAAAAGTAAACAGAAATCACAATATATACAAGAAGGTAAAGTACCTTTTGTTGGGTTGACACTGGCAACATAACTAGGTTCTTCACGTGGACATTGATGCTGCTCTCTGGACACTGGGGGGGGGGGGGGGGGGGGGGAATGAAGAATATTTACTTACTGAAATTCTTTGGTGAAAACAAGTTGTGAGATAAAATCAATGGTTGTGTGAACACTGACCACGTGGCATGCAACTAGTACTTCGACTGGTTGATGGTCTTTGAGGAATAAAATCTCCCTGTCTGTCACGTTTTTTCCAGCGCACTGGTCTTGGCTGAGGTTCACTCTGTGCATCATTCTACGCAATTAACAAGGAAAAAAGGGAACACCTAAAATACAGTCTATGGTTAAAGCAAAGATTATCAAACATCTTAAGTTAACCAACTTAATTTGACATAAACTTTAAAAAAAATTCAAATAACATAACGTTTACTCCGTACAAAATATTAGACAAGCGTGTTCCCTCTTTAACAACTGTTTCCACTAAAAATGTTACCTGCATATCTTGAAGGAGTTCGTCAGCAGCCTGAAGCTCTTCCTCCAGCTCGGGATCCTCTAAATCACTCATTTTCAAGCTAAAGAGGAAAGAGATTTTTGCAGAACTCAGTGACATAAACACATAACTAACGCAATTCAAATGATTTTCAGTCTTGGCGCTCCGGTTAATGTTAGCAATTAACGTTAGCATCATCAGTTTGTAAAGAGCTAGCAGAACTCTTAGCGCAAAAACTGCTTTACGCACCATGTGAGGGTATTTTGCAGCACACAAGTCCTTTAACGTTTGTAATAGATTTAATCCATCATCGTTGGATTAAATGGCTAATGCTGCAGTAGCCACGTGTAGTCGTTACCTAGCAAGCATGCTGACGGTAGCTGTAGCCATTTTTAAATACATTACACCGTTTCCGAGATCAGTCACCTCTGTTTGTTTGAAGCTTTTATGAAAAAACAAACTTTGAAACACACATCAAGGTATTACGTTAAATATATGTATTTTTTACATACCTGCATTAGAATCAATCAGTTCCGCCTCATTTTCTTATTCTTATAAATGGGTCTCTCCGTTCTCCCATCAGGCTTTGCTTACACAGGTTGCGTCTGATTGGCTGGAGCCGAGCGCGTCCAAAACTAACAGGAGTGGTGAATGAATCTATAAATGTGTTTTACGTGTGAAATGAAAATAATAAACCTAACAAAGGATTATGTATACGTTAAATCTGCGCACTTTCAGATCGTGAATCAGTTTGGAAAACACTGTGTGATGGCCACAACATGAAGCGATTTTATTGTTGAATTATCAGTGATACTTTCGTGTTTTTGTTGAGAAATGTTAACGATGTCATTAAAAGAAAGCATTAAATTAGGGAGAAAAACCCGTTCGCGGAGAGGGTCCGCGGTTCTCCAGTTAGATTGTGCTTCACGGCGTCATGTTTCGCCGTGACGGGGTTATTATTGGAGTAAATGGATGGCTGGAGCCTCTGCTCGAAGCGTCTCTGATCGCCGCGAGCGGGTTCATATTGGAATGAATTGACAACCCACAGCGTCACATAAAAACGTGGAAGGGTACCTTAGGCGTCAGCATGAGAAGTTAAGGGACGTGACAAATCGTCATTATTTTACGCATCGGGAGTGAGAACGGGTTGCTTTTTCCTTACAGATAAATGTCGGCTTGATGACCATTAAAAAGGGTGGTTCGAAGCCATACCGTGGAAAAACTATTTTCCTAACAACAGACCCTGACGTTACTGCCACAAGTCTGCTCAATCAAGCTGTTAAAAAAATTAAGGCCTGGGGCTCGGTCACTCAGGCACAGCTGGCTGCCGGCGGAGCTCACGGGCGCGTCACTGCAACTCCCCCTGGCTTCTGCTCCGCGGCTGCTGAGTGAGCCCTCATCTGGGACTCTCCTCAGCTCTTACTGGGACAGTGGCGCGGCTGCCCCTCTGTTGGTCTTCCTTGGTCTCTTGTGTTCTGGGGGCCTCTGGATGTCTGGAGTTTTGATCTCCTCCATACCTGCTTCATACCCTGGAGGACGGGGCTGTGGCTCCCCACACTCCCTAGCAGATCGTTACATGGAGAAACCTTTGGAATGCAAGCATGCTGATCCACACAGGTATGCACACAGGTGTACACACGGGTGTTCACAGACGCGGACTACAGCTTTCTTGGCTGCTGCCTCAAAGCACATTGTGCGCTGTCTATCTTGCGTGCTGCACAATATCGTTTATTACTTAGTATCTACTGATATTTACTGCTAGCTAGTTTATTGTGATGGTGCCGTTTTTTTTATTATGTTGCTCTTTGTTGTTTGCTTTCTCTTCTGTTTTTTTTCTCCATACAGGTGACCCAGGTGTTTTGTTTTTTTTGTTTGTTTGTTTTTTTTCTTTCTTCCACCCCTTCTCACCGTCTCTTCTCCCCTTTGGTTTTCTTTCTCTCCCTCTCTTTCTTTCATTCTTTCTCCCTGTCCTATCCCCCAGTCATGTCTGTCCCATTTGTAGGAACTGAAAATAAAATAAATTCATAATTATAATAAAGGTCAATCAAATGGACCAATATGGCAAGGCCATGATGATCCACTTGGTAAAATAAATCCGCTTGGCATCTTTCTTGGCCTTAAGACAACAATTCTGATGGCTAAAGATCCAAACGGGACACAAAAAAAAAAAAAAAAAAATGAAGGACTTTAACAAAGATCTAAAAGATGGACCTTTCCTTCTTCTGTATCCGGATGGCACTGAGGTCATTACTGTCCCTGGAACACAAAGACCATTTGCACTTGAGGCTTATAAGGCTGAAGTTGGCAAGCATTATCAAAGAATCACTGTTTTCATCTGCTTGAAGAGTGACTTTGAAGATGGTAAGCTGCTAATGTTTGTTTGGATTTTGACACAGATTCCCTTAGTTTCAACAACTGCTAATTTTGAAATTGTGAAATGTTAACATTATGCATAAAGCACCCAAGTCAATAGCATACCTACATTAAAATGGTGAATGGCCTGTATTTGATATAGCACCTTCTAGGGTTCTACAACCCCCAAGGACACTTCACAACAAAAGCAGTCATTCACCCACACACATTCACACACTGCTGGTGATTAGCTACAATGTGGACACAACTGTCCTGGGACTCACTGACTGAAGCAAGGCTGCTGTACACAGATGCCACCTATCCCTCCCACTACCACCACCTGGCATGGAGGGTGAAGTGTCTTGCCCAAGGACACAACAACTGCGACAGACTGAGCAGGGCTCAAACCTTCAACCTTTTGATTACAGGGCGGGCTTTTAACTCCTCTGCCACCATTGCTCCCTAAATTAGCTTGTATATGTTATGTTTCTTCCTGGAAACATGAAATTCAGCCATTTTTGGATCTACGGAGTCATGAGTTTTCAATGCTAACTTTATGCCTTTCGTATTAATCTATTATTGATGATCAAATAAAGTTTCATACATTAGTATGAATTTAGTTAGCTTAGCTTGATTTGTTTTCATGTTTTGTAGTTGGAGAAAACTCAGAGTTGTCTGACTCTGACCCAGAGATTGTTATTAAAAGGCCCTCTGAGTTTGATCTTGCTGATACACTGGTAAGTACAATTTAACATTTTTTATAGAGTTTTCTTGTTGTTTAGCCACCACCATTTGCCTCAGTTCAGTAAAACAGTTAATAGTTATATGTGAAATACATTTTGTGTGTGTGTGTGTGTGTGTGTGTGTGCGTGCTTGCGTGCGTGTGTGTGTTTGTTTGTTTGTTTGTTTGTTTGTTTCAGCCATGGGAACTTCAACATGAAAGCAGTCCTTTACAGAAAGCGGCAGAATATGAGTAAGTGATATTTTAAGAACATGTAATCTTTTACTGTTTTTTGCCAACACTTTGTATTAATGAGATATACTCTTTTGTCAAGGTTCAAGGTTCTTTATTTGTCACATGCATAGTTATACAAGTATAACACACAGTCATTCAGTCTGTATATGGTTTTTGGAACATGGACTACATAATACTTGTATTGCTTGTTTGTTAATCAAGATGCTTAAATATTTTCAAAGTGTCAATTAATATTTTCACAGTACACAACAATAATGCTTTTCTTTGTTCTCTAAGGAAGGGTGCTGGGGATCTTGTGCTTGCTAATGAAGTACAACAGGTAAAAAACTATTTTATTAGTAAAAGAGTGCAGCAGACAATCTCCACCGCCTTTACGTTGCAATTAGATAACGATTCACTGTTTGCTTATTACATTCATTGTTATTATACAATGCATTTCACATCCTCAATTTTCATACTATCAATAGTTTATAACATTCACCCCTTAAAGGTACAATAAGTCATACCGGTACATGAAATAATCACAAAGCAGTCTAATGTCTCAATCATGTTGGAAGGAAGGTTACATTGAAACTAACTGTGTATGACTCGTCTTTGTCATCTAGAATCTTCTGGCGCTGATCCGTAGCCATGAAACTCATGGAACGGGAGGAGGGAGAGTCACTCGTTTGTTTATAAAGATAGACTGCAGTACACAGATTTGACCACAGGATGTTCTTCTTATTTCATTCTTACTTACTTATTGTACCTTTAGATAATCTATTGGGATAGGGAACCTAAGGTACATCCATCTACTTCCGGACCATGGGTCCCCTACTGCTAAAAAAATAGGAGTCTATGAGCCAATAAAAATTATTTTCTGATCCCGTTTGATGTGTGCCATGGATTTAAAATATGATGTCCGTGAAGTATATAAACACATTTTGATGCCAAAAAGTGCTTAAGCGACAGGTGGCAAAGGTTATTTTAGGTTTTGTTTGAAAAGACGTGGCGAAATGTAAATGTTCGTCTCACAAAATTGACATCATTGAACCAGACACAGAGAAGAGGACAAGCTTAGTTTTGTTTAGCGAGCTTCGAATCCTTCTTCCAGGATGATGTGGAGAAAACCACTATAAATCTGGTCATGTGATAATTTGCAGTTATGCTGGGGGAGAAAAGCTTCTGAGGCGACGTCATATTTGCGACATCTGACTTGTAGTCATTTTAATGACGAATTTTTACAAGCTAACAAATCTCAAATTACATTACAGACATAGTCGAAACACAATTTTTTATTATTTAAATTGAAGTACAACATATGTGTGATTCAGAGAGTAAGGCAAAGCAGACCAGAAAATAACTTTTATAGCTCCATTCACTTCCATTCATTTTTCTTTTGTTCAGGGACCCACGAGCAGACCAGAAGGGGAGGAGACTTAGGCTCCCTATATTAAAATAATTATCAATTGGTCAAATATGAATTTTCATTCATCCTCATTTCTGTATTTCCAGGTCATAGATTTGGAAGAAGAAAACGATACAGGCACTACTGAATGCCTCACTGTCGAGAGCTCCTGTTACAGGTGCGTTGTATCTTGAGTAATTATTCCAGAGGGTTGCACAAAATATATACACACAATTATTATAAATGTATGTAGTTTGACTCTTTTACATTAGATTCTTCAGAAAAAAAAATAGTAGAATCGTTCTATAAAACTGGAACTGCATGTTTATGCATTTGTCTTTTTGCATCTACACTTTGTGTACATGTTTTCACTCTGCAGAAACTACACACAGCTGTTTGAACCGATTGTGATTGATGATGAAGATCCTACTCCTAACGAAGCCAAAGCTGAGCCCCCAGAAGAACCTGTGTTAGTAATTTAAACATTTGAATCCAATTAACCGCCATCTTGTTCTGTACAAGACATCATGCAATCATGAGAGAAGTATATACACCCTTTTTTCTTAGAGACACCAATTTGCAGGCACATGAAATTATTGCAAATTTGGCACTGGAACTTGACCACAAGACGGTCAGCAGGTTCAATATATCAAGGTCAGCTGTATGGGATGGAGCTGTTAGAGGATTTCGACGCAGCACATACTCTGACAACTACGACATGTTCATCAAGTTTAATGATGATGCTGGCAGCTTTGAAGAAGGTTTGGATACAGGTGGCCTGGGGTGTGAATTCCTCACACTTCTTATGGGCAGTCTGACAAATCGCCCCATCTTTGATGGACCTCCAGAGAGCCGTTATCTTGTATATAATTCAAGAGGTGGATGTTTTCTCCGTAATTATTACAATGGAAATTTTAATAAAAATTGGCTTATTTTTTTCATTAGCATATTTAATAGCAATTAACCATGATAATTATGTGCCCTGTATAACAGCTGCCAGGCAAGATGAGTACTTTTTAGCAGGAAAGATGATCGCTGTATCCATTGTGCATGGGGGACCAGCACCACATTTCCTCTCCAAGAACCTGGTCAACCACATCACAGGGAATCTGAGTTTCAGCGCCACTGTAGAAGATGTGCAAGATGAGGAGATCACAAAAGTTCTACATCAGGTAGAAAATTACCTAGGCTCAGGGAATGGGTTTACTTAGAAGACACTTGGGGCCAGTTTAAAAGATTTAATCAGGATAAAAGTTATCCGGGTTGGATCATATCTTGAAAGTAGGTTCAAGGCAGATTCTGTAATCTGAAAGGACAGATTTCCACCTCCCAACAACACAAGTGAAATAACAAATTGATTATTTTTTTAATCCAATGTTTGAATGAATCGTAAAAGTAGTGAAAATTTTTTTTGTTTTTCTTACAGTAAATCTTTTTTTTTTTTTTTTTTTTTTATATAGGTCCTGAAAGCTGAATCAGAGGAGTCTTTGCATAATCTTATTTTGCAAAACAGCACAATCTTCCAAACTGCTGGATGCCTCAGAAACGTCAAGCCTTGTGAGAAACAAGCATTTGTGGAGGAGTACCTCAGATGGTACATCCTTGAAAGAAACCAAAGTGTCATTCATTGGTAAACTCATTACTCCTTTTAAATTCAGGATGGCCAGATGCTCATCACAGCAGCCACTGACATTTTCAGACCTTCAGATGTATATGAAAAAACTGATTCGGTAGCATCTGTGTGATCTGATGAACAACAAGTTAATTCCTGAGCCACTGTCGCACGCTATTAACCTTTTGACACTAGAACTCTAATTTAGTATACATTTATTGTTCACAATGACCTATAATAATCATAGTCATGCAACATGATTAATTTTTAGTTATTTATAAAAAGAGGTGATCCCTTGTTTGACACACTTGTTTATTCCAGTGTGAAAGCACTGATTTTTTTTTAAAAGCTGAAATCCCAATGAGCTCTTCTTTTTTTGCTGTCACAGTTAATTTCTGAGCACTATGAATTGTTTTTGTGTATGCATTTGAAATCTGTCCAAATTTATAATGAAAGATCTAGTAGGTAAAGACATTTAAACACAATTTAGAAGACTGCAATAGTTATAGCTATAAACCAATTATTAGTTATTTGTCTATCCTTTGCAGATTTAAAGATGGACTGGAAAGTCTGAATTTTTTAAGTGCACTGCAAAAACATTCCAGTGTGCTGGCCCCACTCCTATGCTTCTCTGCCAAGGCCCTGACTGCTTCAGAACTGGAGAGCATGTTCAGACCAGATCTCAGCCCAGCAGGAAGCAACAAGCGGCATAAGGAGGTCCTAACACTTGGCTTTTGGGCAGATTATCTCCTTGATTGTGAAGGTTTGAATGGCCGTTTTTAATTGTTTATAGTTTTATGAAAGGAGAGGTAAGGAAATTAATTTTCTGTACTGTACTAAAGTGTTTACTTTCTTCTTTCAGAGAAGGCAACAGCAGTGTGTCTGGAAGATTTGATGATGTTTGCCACAGGGCTGATGGCAGTTCCACCGGCAGGAATGACACCACCACCATGCATCCAGTTTTTAAGTGATTCGCCTTTTCCAGTTGCAAACACCTGTGCAAATACTCTGAAGCTACCCATCTGTGACTCATATGGCATCTTTAAGGCCAACATGGACTTTGGAATTCAAAATGCTCCAGGATTTGGATGTTCTTAAATTAGCAAGGTCATCAAGTTACAGTTAATGAGTTACCCTGTTAGGTTCAGCTGCCGTTGGCACACTACTTAACACATCCATGTGACAACCAACTTCCATATTGTTAAACATTTAGTTGTTTTTTTCTGAATATTGTGTATGTTGGAAAAGTGACAGAAATGCTGGACACTATTTGTAAATGGTTTTATTAAAGAAAATTTTAAAAAAAAAAAAAAAAAAAAAAAAGAAAATTTTAAATGTTTCCTTGTGGTTAAATGTTAATATTTAAATCCATGCCAGTTCCTGTATATTATGAACAATATTATATTCAATTTAGCAAGAGGGAAAGGAAACACTACTAACATTAAAAAATGAAGGAAAAACAGAAGGGCTGGAGCACTCAAGTAAGTCCAAAGGTTTTATTAGGTGCAAAAAAAGGAAAGAAACTAACGTTTCGACACCGTGTGTGTCTTCGTCAGAGTAACTCTGACAAATGTCATTACAAACTGAAGTTCAGTTGGTATCTAAAACCCAGCTATGTCCTTCAGGGCCAAATACAGTTCTGTGGCCGATTCCCAGTCTTGTGGCTGCTGCAGTGTGTTTTGTTGTACAACCTGTTGTAAATATTCCTCAATGTTTGGATCACCACACAATCCAACCAGTAGCCCCTCCTCGGGAAACACATCCAGTTCCCTCTCCTCAACAGCAAATCCACAGTCTCTTGAACCATATCTGCAAAATGAAAATAGAACAGTGAAGGATTTTTTGCTGACAATATGGAACTATATAAATCAACGCATGCAGTGACATGTTATAAACTGCTGTATCATACTTATGTGTAAAATTATGAATATATATTAACCAACTTAAGCAATAACAACACCTTGCATTTAGTTTGATGCAAAAGGTTAATTCATTTTGTTAAGAACTCAAATACCTGTGAGGCAAGAGAGAGTTTGTTTGGAATCCCCCCTGGACACGATGCAAGTCTGCTTGGCCGGATCCTGTGTTTGTTCCAGAGGTCCTTGCATTCATCCAGGTCTTTCTGTAGAACCCCTCTGAAGCAGAATCTCAGCAAGCATTGGTGTTTGTGGCTTCCATTAAGTTTCAAGAGTCTCTTAGGTCTCCAAACAAGTCCATCCAAAACTGAGACCTGGGTAAATAATTAATATTTAAGAATCAATTTAGCTTTGTTCTTGGTCATTTTATAGGGTTTGTTACATTTTGGTCCTATTTAAAACATGCCACAAATGGATGTCAAACAAAGTAATGCATATTAGTTTTCCATAAATATTGAAGCGACCCTGCAGTAATGTTCTTGTTAAAAATGCCGTATTCTTTTCACTCTGTTCTGTGTGTTGATTGTGAGGAGTGGAGAGTTTGGTCTGAGTAGTTCATTTTGTATTGGCGTCGTTAAATCTAGGCAAGCATACTCATTTCGGCACAACAGCTGACGGTGACCATTTTGAGTTCCTGCAATAAAGTGACGGCTGTTAACGTCTATCTCATCCAACTTTTCAACAGCAGGACGCTACTCTATTTTCTTAAATGCATGTAAAAAAAAACGATCTGATCAGCTTTCACTGTAGCTTACACCTACCAGACACAAATGTACCCACCTTCCTCTTCTGAAATAAGACCACCATGACTCGATGCGCTGATTCCCAGTAGATGATCCATAACTGTGGCTTGACGATCCAGCATAATAGTCCGTGTGCGCGTGACGGAGGTACACTGTATTGCTGCCATAGTCCCATTCTCAGTCCCGAAGTCTGTTCGTAATCTCATTGGTATCACACCAAGACTCTTTACACAGTTTATATAATTGTGAGCTATAACAGCCGGGTTGTTGTTTGTTGCTCCACACACAGCCACATCAGTCTTCTTGAAAAGCCATCTATACATCCTGACAGGGCCAAGCCAAAGGGTTTCAGTTTATCATAGCCATCTACATGCCATATGTAATTGGGCCCCATGGAGTGATACGTGCGTCTTGTGAACCTCCTTCGAGTTCTCAAAGCGATTCCTTGAGGATTTAGTTGTCTCAACAGCCTCATAACTACATCACGCTTGACACGCAGCTTGTGTTTTTGTTTGAGAACTTGCCACATGGTCCGATATCCAAACAATTGTCCTGGTCCTCGAAGCTCGGCCAAAATGGCACGCCTCACCTCAGGAAGTGGAGAATAGTTGTCTCGTCTGTGCAGTCCAGATTCTTTTAAATGCGTTTTCAGTGTACGCATACTAATTGAGATGTCACGATTACACTTGAGCATATCCAGTATCACCTCGTATGTATGTCCTGAATCAAAATATTCTCGCATAGCGACAGCTATGTTTGGGTCACCGCTAATGTTCATGTTTGAAAAAAAATGTGCTACAGGCAGAGTAACTTCCGGTTCCAAAGATGAACAGCGCGGACGTCCAATCAGTGATGTCTCCTGTTGCCGACTGGTACCTACCCTTTCCGTTTTTTTTAATGTAATTGTGCTTCTCAATTTGTTTTTGTGATTCTTCTTTTGTTTTTGTGCTTCTCAATTTTGTTTTTGTGTTTCGTAATTTGATTTTGTGATTCTCAGTTTTGTTTTTGTGCTTCTCAGTTTTGTTTTTGTGCTTCTCAATTTTCTTTTTGTGTTTCTCAATTTTGTTGTTGTGTTTCTCAATTTTGTTGTTGTGTTTAGCAATTTGTTGGTGTGATTTGCACTTCAGGGCCACCGTACTAGGGGCCTCTGTAAATACATTTTTATTTATTCACCCCGCATAAAATGTAATAAATAAATTATAAAATACAAAAAACAACTATTTACATTTCAGCTTTTAACTATTTACATTTTCAGCTTTTTTCTTTTAAACAAATTTAAAGTGAAACAACACAAAACGCTGCAAACCACAACACAATTAAATATAAATTAAAATATGCAAAACAAAAAGAACATGCACATTCTCTGTCATATGGGCCGGGGATGATTTTTTGGGAGAGTGTTTTCCTGCTTTGAATTGCAACATTGGATTCACTGCATGAATAAACTTTCTGAATCCTTTATCATCTGCAACTTAAAATAGTTGTTGATGATTACTATACCTTTCTAATGTGACGTTGTTGTCCCTGGCTCTCTTTCTCTCTCTTTCCCTCCGGCTCTGTTCCTGTGCTACTGAGAGTGTAACTACTGCCCCTCCCCCCACTGCTCAGCACAAAGCACAAGGCTCGCGTGCTGAGTGAAGCGGAAAGAAAGTGCGAGAGAGAGGGCGAGAGAAAGAAAAAAAACCCGATGCCTCCCAATAAGGAGTCGGTTCGCGTCATTCACTTCAAAGAGCCGGCTCTGATGGACTTCCGGTGTCATGGTGGCGAGAGTAGCAGCATAAACAGGAGCTCCTGCATCGATAGCTAAAATAATCCGCAATTCAAGAATATAATTCATTAAAAGCGACTTTCCCTTTAAGAATAATGAGTGGAGATAAAAATAAGAAGGGACGAGCCCCAGGCCGAAGCTTAGAAACGCGACTTGAGAGTAAGACATAAACACGCTCCGAGCAAGAGGGCGAGAAGATGGCAGCGGAGGCCGCAACATCAGCGCTAGGCCCCCTCAGACAAGTGGTGAGTGAAGTAGTGGCGGAGGGCATGCAAGACCTTAAGGCAGAGATGAAGAAGGAGCTATCGCTCGTGAGAACAAGTTTGAAAGAGGACATGAAAGCCCAAATGAGCGAGTTAACACACGAGATAAATCAACAGGGTACCGCCGCCACAAGCAGGATCGAGGAGGCGGGGAAATGTCTGGAAGAAATGGAAAGAAACATGGTAGGGAAGGAGAAATGGGA